CTTTGTCACGTGATGATGCATGCCGATTATTTCTGCAGACTATTGCCGTTTATTAATTTTCAATCTAAAGTTGATTATGTAATCATTTTTTTAACTTTAGATTGAAGATTAATTAACGACACTGTGCTGCACATGGGCAGCGATGGAAACACAATAAATGCAAAAAGAAGAAAAATATCGGTGTCTCATTCGCAGGTGTAGTATATTTTATTTACAAGTTGCTGTCCTATAAAAGGACCACAATACTTGGACCATAAGTCTGTGTTTCTAACAGAAATTTAAAAGAAGTTTGATTTTTAATTTAATACATGTTATAAAAAGGGTTTCTTCCATCTTGAAACATGAAGATTTTTAATTATAATTTAATTTTAATGGTCTTATTACTAAAAGTGTAGTAATGAATGAAAGACGCACGTCCTGATCAAGGTATCTTTTGTTTACTGTATGTATACCATTACCCTTAAATAGGAACATCCATATTATCACAAATACCCTACATCTTAACTGTTTTGCTCGTGTTCAGATTTTATACATTTAATGTTGTTCAGATTTTACCAGTGTTGTTTTCCTTGAAAGAGAAGACATCTCTGTTAAAGATTAAAGATTACATATGATGCCAGATCTGTAGAACCCGCCAATGGAGTGTCGTCTGGTAAATATACTCATGAAACATACTGAGAGAGAGAGAGAGAGAGAGAGAGAAGAAATAGTAACGTCGGCACTCACATTTTGCATTAAGTTGCAAAATCCCCTGCAAAATAAGATACAAGTCCAAAATAACCGTAACTTCAAAGAGCATAAATGTATCATTTACAAGTGCACATAATTATCCAAAACCATTATATAAGGATTGTCTGAAATATTCATTAAAAAATGCAGTTATAATTTCTTTATTATGACTTAGTAGGATAATATAGAACATAATGCAGTAGATGTTTAAAAATTAAAACAAAGCGATATTTTACGAACATTAACGGAGTAAATATTTTGAATATACAAGCCGCACGACTCATTTATATGTCTAGCTATTTTTAGAAAAACGTCATAAAAAGAATTTCTTATTTTCAGCACATGTCTGTGAACACTATTTTTTTTCATTATAATGCCACTCTTTCAAGTATTTAAGATAATTTTTTCATAAACACAATGAAAAAGTAAATGTATAAACATAAAAATATATATATATGATACTTTTGTCATCAGTAAAAAAAAAAAAATACATGTACTTGTACGATCAGCCCAATGTTATGCTAGCGCTAGATTTATAATAGTGACAATCAGGGAAGGGGAATGGGGATAAGTACTACATTTTCATCAGTTAAGAGAGATCTTGAATTATCATCATAAAAATATTTGGATCAAGTTCTGTTTTGGGTACAATTGAGCAATTTTTGACAGAGTTATGTCCCTGGAATTTAGAAAAATTCCACTTATTTGCAGTTTATGTTCATTTTCTTCGCAGAAGTTGCACATATTGAAATGAAATTGGGTATACAGAATTATCATATGTATATCTAGGTCAAGTACTGTTTTGGGTACAATCAAGCAATTTTTGACAGAGTTACAGTGTATGCCCCTTGGACTTAGAAAAATTCCAATTATTTGCAGTTTCCGTTCATTTTCTTTGCAGAGATTGCACATACTGAAATGAAATTGGGTACACAGATTTATCATAAAAATATCTTGATCAAGTTCTGTTTTTGGTACAATCAAGCAATTTTTGACAGAATTATGCCCCTTGGACTAAGAAAAATTCCAATTATTGGGGGGGGGGGGGGGGCATAAGAGTTTCACAAACGTCTCTTGTTTTTCGGAAGTCCCCCCCCCCCCCACACTTTTGAAACCGTTGCTACGGGCCTGTCCGAGATCACTCATGGACAAAATAGTACACAGGAAGAAAACTAGAAGAAAAAGAAACAGAATAAAAACAATATGTTCCAAAACTTCGTTTGGGGAACATAATTATTATAATTATAATAATAATAAAATGTCCCATACCTGCACCTTAATGGACAAAAATGACCTTCAAGATTTAGATAATTATTGTATTTTACAGGACACTACTTTTGCGAAGTTTAAGGAAAATCCTTTCTATATATACGCAAATTTTACGTACGCGTAGATACATCAAGGGATTCCCTGGAATTCTAAAACTCGTGATTATTTCAACACAATCATTTACATGTTGTGTCAATTAAGTCTGTCATTCAAAGTTAGTATACCTTTGTTTCGGCTTAGCGTTATGGATAAAAGGAAAGAATTAGAATAGATGATTCTTAAATGTTGCAGTTTGAAATATGAAAATAGAATTGAAGAGATTTGTACCAAAATTGTAATATTTACCTCTTTGTGTGCTAATTAACACCAAAAATCATTAACTTTGATTAGTCGTATTGTACCATAGAATTTTTTTGTTACTATAATAAAACATTCTGTTAAAAATACTACTGATTTTTTATTGAAAACCTTAACGATCAATGGACAATTGCACTTAACAGAAGTGCTTGTAATTAAACCATTTAACAACTCCATTCTTTGAATGGAAAATTCTTTTCATAATTTTAGAAAACGTTCGACATTCATTCATAAAAATATGATATTCACAACTGAGTAGAAGGGCGAAGGGTTCAATATTGTCGTTTGACATCTTCTTTAGCTCGCTGACCAGTAATAGAATATATGAGGCCTATGGGCCTAGCTTGCCGGTTCCTTAAAAGTATCTTCAGTTTCTCAGGCGTTGGCCATATCGGGGCTACCTGGAACTAGTCTGGACTTATGTGACAAGAAAATTTACAGTTTACCCTTGTCTCCCAGATGTTCAGGAATAAAGAAAATAAACTACACAGTATTATAATAAATTTCAATAGAAGACCACCTATTTAACCTCATTCTGGTGCTCCATGCCTAGTGCCAAGTGACATGGATTTCATAATTTTCTTAGAAACTGGATGTTTATTATAATTATACTAACAATTTGATGGGTGTTCATATCAATGAGTAATGAAGAAGACTTTCAGACATGTAGTTTACTTTCAATATATGACCAACTTGGCACTTGGGGTCTAAACCAACGGACAGGGTCCATGGATTTTACCATTTTCTTACTAGGGAATTTAGAATTAGTTATAATCATGCAAATAGGTTATCTACTAGATCTACTAGATATCCTTTTCACAAAAATCTTTCGATTGCTTTTCATCTTACAATCTTAGAATTTTATTCCTTTTCACAAAAAAAATTCTTACATATTTTTAAAATTTGTCGTAACTTTACGAGAGCTCTAACCCTCTTGTAAGTATCTTGGAACCGATTTCAATTTTAAAATATTACAAATACAATGTAGTAGGAAAATAATTTTTACAATGTAGTATAGAGATCCAAGCGTTTATAATAATTACGTAAGCAGTTTGATTGTTAGGTTTTCACGAGTAAAGGAGAAGATTTCAAAGATGATCCAATATAAATACTAGGGTAATCAATAAGTTCGTGGATTGACGCTATAAAATGTCATTATCACAGGATAAGATTACACCATTCAGTCGATGAAATGGTAATTGAATGCCCACTGATAGGTCACTGAAAAGATCCAATCAGTGACTTTTCCGTGACATTCCAAAAAGCTATAAGTCGACTGAATGGCAGATACATTTCTTTGGCCTTTAAGTTATTTTTCAGTTGTATTTTTTCACTAAATTGTTAGCTCATTTTTTTCTAACTTAGCAATTTTATTTCATTTTTTTTTCTATTTTTGGTATTAAATTTATCTATTTTCGAATTTAAAAAATAAATAAACGAAAAGCAGGAAAAAAGCTTGACAAAACCGTAGGTCGAACTGGGTTTCTCTTGCTTGATCTTTTACTCCATGGGGACTTATGAATACAATAAAGAAATAATATCAATAAATGTGTTGGGATCGAATAGGGACACCTAGGTCACCTGTTATATCGAGAAGCTTACAAGGTGTATACATGAATGTTGACTGAAATGGCTAAAGGGAAACTGAAAGGTTACTGAAATGTATGTATGCCATTCAGGTTACTGAAAGCTGCTTTTCCGTTTAATAAAATAATTATGCCTTCCATATGCTAAGAATGAAAATTTTAAACATATTGTTTCCCGCAGCTTCGTTAATTTTCAGCCAGAATACAAAACTAAGAATGAATGTAGTTGTAAATATGTCATTTATTAATGACACAAATGTAAGACATGAAAATTGGGAGATCCTATGTTTCTGTACAATTTGTATATACACCTGGATTTGGATCTCCCAAAACTTAAAAGTACAGAATGATTGTAATGGAAAATACTATTTTATCAAAACTTCTGTTGAAAAATAAAGGGGGGGGGGGAACAAACAATTGGCATTATGACCAACTAAGCCAGGCCCGAGGGCCTAAACCGTGCTTCCAGGGGATATGAATTTCACAATTTTTGGAAAAGGCTTTTAGCCAAACAATTTGACTGATTGATATCCAGGAGTGAAGAAAAATGCCGTATTTTTATTTGTATTTGCTAAATCCTAAGGTCCCAGACAGGTAGAAAAAGTTTTCCCAACGCATCTATAGATGTTATAAACCAAGAATTTTTGAAATTGGTTTAACGGTTCCATAGAAGAAATTTAAATTGTACAAAATAGCAATAGTATAGCGGAGAGACTTACTGAGCTGATTTAAAATAACAACATATTGATCAAATTTTCCCCTTTACCTAAAGATGCATTGTGGGAAAATCGCGGCTGAAATTAGTTCTGGGAAAGGTTAAATACTGATTTAAGATTATAGACACCAAAGAACACTCAACAGCCAGATAAACGAACATATCAGAACTTTACTTGAACATCAGGTTAGCTGAAAATGTATTATTGCATGCTCTGATTATAGCTAAGTGATTTAAAGCTAAAATCTCAAGAACAGCTTAATATAGACATTTCTTTCTAAGTACACTTTGCGTACAATTTATTTTATTTGTTTATTTATGAACTGAAGCACTATAGAGCTTACGTTCCCTCATCTGATTCTCGAGGGGCAGGGCGAGGGTACGCTCTGAGGGGTCTAATCTCGGCCCTTTGATAATGGGATGCTCTGCTTTCCATCGTCTTGATTTTTGAACACTGAAAGAAACCAGATAATTTTACTCTTAGAAGCATCATATTTAGTAGCTAAATTAAGCCCGAAGGAATTTGTTGCAATTTTTTTTTTGGGGGGAGGGTGATTTTGATTGGAGGTTTAACCTAAAATGCACTAAGATGATGAAATGAGTTGCAATTTTTACGTTGCAATTCAGTTATAGCCCCAAAGGTAGGGTTTAAATAATAATAAAATTAATTTTGCAAAATACAATTAGATAGCTTAAAAGTACATGTCATAAATTTAATTTAATTTACAGACCCTCTCATTTCAATCCTGAATGCCTAGGCCTCAAGCCAACCTGAATCTTCCTAATTTCCCTTGTTTGGCTAAATTAATTTTATGAACGTACACGAACTAGTCCATAAAGACATGCCGTCGCCTTCACGATCCGTAAATATACAAACGAAGCAGCAACACTTGACCTACAATATCAAGGGATGTAATTTCATTATCTGACTTACCCTGATGGTGTTAAATGAATTTGATTTTAGAAAAAAAAATGACAGTGTATTTGAATATAAGATTCTGGTGACGTCTTTCAACCTCTTTTGCAAAACGAATTCATCTGTGACTGACTGACTGTGAAACTTCTCGTAAATTTCGAATTGTACTGATGATTTTCATGAAAATAATGATACCAAATGACTTTCTAATCAATAGCACGACTCAAAATGTTAAGCTTTTCAGTATTTTATTATGAATCTTAAGAATTGAACACTACTGCACTAATTGTCTTACTTTTCTCTTATCTTCACAGATGTACAACCGTTCATTGGCCAGTCTGACACTTTACGGGTCTTTCATTAACATGTAGCTTTATAAATCTATACTATTTCTCGAAAGATAATGAAAATTTTTCTGTCAATGAATACGATTTTGAAGACGTCACTAAATCTGTTTGGAAAGATAAAAGAAAGAGGGGGTTTTTATTTCGCGATCCTGTTTGAAAATGTTCTAGATTTTAACTACATGTATAATATTTAGATACATACATGTAATTATATTAATATGAAGAAGTATGTATACTTGATCAACTAATTCAAGGAAATACGAAATAAAGCATTTTTTATACAGTTATAGGCACATATTCTTTAATATACACAGTTCACTGCAAAGCAAAATCCAAATTCATAATAAAAGTTTCTTTCATAATATCATATTACATTGTCATGGGATAAATACCTTTGCATGCAAGTAAAGGAGGTTATATGGAAAATCATGCAATATTGCTATTCTCTTGATAAATACAATTATACGTACCTACCAAGAGAGAGAGAGAGAGAGAGAGAGAGAGAGAGAGAGAGAGAGAGGCATCAGTTTGGTATTATCAACTGATAGACCATATGTGGTTCCTTCTTTTTATGGCAAAAAATTATAATAATATTTAAAAATAGACCTAGGAGTCACATAATTGGCAACAGTAATTTTTATTCTTAATTTCAAGGAAAAAAGATAATGACTTTGACATGGTATTGCCACTATGATTAAACGGTCAATTTTAATCTAACTGATATCATCACTTAATTTCTTCTTGAATCTGTGAAACTTTCATTCATTTTATTATTCATTAATTTACAATAAATAAAAAAAGATCCTCTTTAACAATTTAAGTTTTCTTTGTTTACCTTTTTATTGAAAGAAATCCCAATTTATCATTGGTATGATGTGAATAAGTGATTTATACAGAAGGATATAAGATTAGTGGTTTTTATGCAATTCATATTCCTAGAACTGCGTTTTTTACAAGTCCTATTTAATACATGGGAGAGAGATATAAACTTCAATTGAAATATACAAAGAGCAGACTGTTTTAAAATGTGCCTTAACAAAAACATTTTTGCGATTAGCACCTCTTGAATTTGATCGAATTAAAAAAACTATAGAGGTCACGCCAGAATCCTAATAATATTCTTATGATACATGTGCGAATGTTTTAATGAATTTATACATAAAATGTTGTTTCTTTTCCAAACGTATATTTCAGTATTGGCTAGCCATTTAAACACTGACCTTTATTTCCATGAAACTAATCTATCTCAAAACTTTGAAAGCATTTCATGCAACACAAAGTGAACCTTAGAACTATAAGATGTATGTTCATTAACATAAAATTTTATACCCTGTCTTCCACAACAGAAAATCAAGAGTTTTTATAGGATTTTAGAGTTCTACATGGATTTGACAGTTTTGACTGTGGATAAGAAATTCACTATTGAGCAAACGTTTTGAAAAAAAAAATGTTCCTTTTATTCAGAAATTTCAAATGACCCTCACCTTCCATGCACTAAAAAAACCCCCAGAAAACAAACACCCCCCCCCCCCAAAAAAAAAACCACTCGTAATTATAAGGAATTGTTAATAAAATATAATAGGTGTCCATTTATCACTTCACGTTATATTGCGTATTAAAGTGCATTATTTATTTATCTGTACTCAAACTTACAAATTTAACATACTTGAATCATTTTATTTTCACATTCATGATTAGGATCTCATTACATATACCGCATTATAGTACCAAATAAGTGTCACATATAAGTGTATTTTGAATTGATTAATGAAAATAAAAAAAAAAAAATTACCTGTACTAGACAAAAACAGACCATCAAGATTTTGACAATTATCCTTCCGAATAAGACACTGCTTCTGGAAAGTTCAATGAAAGTCTACCTGTACACGTGTGTATTTGAATCTTACGAAACAACTCCCGTCAAACTCATTAGTCTTTCAACACGATCATTTACATGCTGTGTCAATTAAGTCCAAAAGTAACATTAAAACATACCTGTAAATGTTTCTGGAATGTTTAAAAATGTTTATGGGTTACTAGTAAAGTCTAAAAATAGAAACAATATTGCTCATCTGATACAAAAAAGATGTCATTTCTAATTCTTTTGTTATATTTCCATAAACTTTTGCAGTTTCAAAGACTAAAATAAGATAATCTGATTTGGATTTTTATCTTGAAATGTTAAATTACTCGAAAAATTATCACAAAATGCAATTGTGACAACTTAAGAACGGTCACCATCAATTAGTAAAATAATGTAAAACTTACAAGAGAGCGTGAATTCATATCGGTGATTCTAAAGCGATTTTTTCTCTACAGTTCAATAAAACTAACCATGTTCTAATTGTGATATTCTAACGACCTGACGCTGAGCAATAATTTTCAAGAACGCATAAGAATATGAACGAACAAGGCGCGAAGATGCCTTATACATGTACATAGAGCTTCAAATGTAAACAACTTAAATTCACATTGTGAGCTAAGTAGTTAGAGCACAGTTCTATACTTGAAAAAGGTAAGAAATTATGATAAAACAATACTTTTAGGAGAACAAATTCTCACGGCAAAAATTATTCTGTGTGGAAAAAATGAGGATTTCTTGGGACTTGAACCCAAGCGATAATAAGTCTGAGTACCAGTTCCTTCTAAGAGACCGACACGCTAACCACTGCACCATGCAACTCATAATAGTGATGGCATTTAAATTAGCTTGTCATATTACGCTTGAAAAACTGGACTTCGAATATTTCTCTGAAAAATACGAATGTTGTGTCATAGAAGTGTATTTTCAAGGAAGAGTGGGTCCTTCCGCCATGTTTTTGTTATGAAAAAAATGTATATTTTTAAACATATTACTCTGAAACAAGAGGCCCAAGGGCCTTAACAGTTACCTGAGTATAATACAACAATTTAGAGGATCCATAGATTATAAAATGATCTGAAAGGTGAATCTTTGTTGCCCAAAAGCAAGAAAAAGAGGGTGATTAGGATCAACAAAATAATTAGTCTACTGTTCATTAACAGTTCATAAATTAGGTTTTAATCTGTTCCCCATTTATCACTATCACCATACAGTATATGACAAATTATCACTGATTCTGTACTATTTCAATTCCTTGATGAAATCCCTTACATTGGACTCTCTTGGTCTTTGATGAACATTGAATAAGACAAGTTATTTTTGTCTCATTTTTATTTATCTATTACTTACAAGTCTACCTGATCATTTAAACTATAAAAGTACTTTTTGTATTATACAATAAAAAATCTTGCATAATTCTCCTCTTCTATTAACCTTTCAAGTACATTATTTACAGTGATTAATTATCAAAAGTAAATAGCAAAGGGGAATAACTCCTCTCAGTTGAATACAAATTAATAGAGCTCTGGCCAGGACCAGATCACTTGACCAAATGGTCCAGATGTTCAAAAATCTTTTTATATTAAAAGTTTACTCTTTTTGCCTCTGATATGTCAGGTGCAGAGAAGATTTTCAAAGAAATAATGCATTTTTACTACAGATTCTCTATATTATCAATAGAGCCCCCCCCCCCCCCCAAGCACCAGAACCCCTGACCTTGGGGCCATGAATTTCACAATTTTAATAGAGTCACCCTTGCTTATCATAACTATGTATTCAATTTATTTCAATAATACCCAGGAGTAGAGAATAAAATTTTCGAAGAAATAATGCACTTTCACTATATGATCTATATAGCCCCGCCCTAGTGCCAGAGCCCCTGACCCTGGGGCCATGAATATCAAAATTTTGGTAGAGTCACTCTTGCTTATCATAACTATATGTTCAATTTGTTTCAATAATACCCAGGAGTAGAGAAAAAGATTTTCAAAGAAATAATGCACTTTCACTATATGATCTATATAGCCCCACCCTAGCACCAGAACCCCTGACCCTGGGGCCATGAATTTCACAATTTTGGTAGAGTCACCCTTGCTTATTATAGCTATGTATTCAATTTGTTTCAATAATACCCAGGGGTAGAGAAGAAGATTTTCAAAGAAATAATGCACTTTCACTATATGATCTATATAGCCCCGCCCTACCACCAGAATCCCTGACCCTGGGGCCACGAATTTCACAATTTTGGTAGAGTCACCCTTGCTTATTATAACTATGTATTCAATTTGTTTCAATAATACCCAGGAGTAGAGAAGAAGATTTTTCAAAGAAATAATGCACTTTCACTATATGATCTATATAGCCCCGCCCTAGCACCAGAACCCCTGACCCTGAGGCCATGAATTTCAAAATTTTGGAAAAAGCATCCTTGTGCACCATTACTATGCACTTACTTTGTTTAAATAATATCCAGGAGCAGAGAAGAAGATTTTCAAAGATTTAATGCATTTTCACTATATAATTAATAGAGCCCCGCCCTACCACCAGAACCCCTGACTCTGGGGCCATGAAATTCACAATTTTGGAAAAGGCATCAATGCTAATCATAACCATGCACTTAGTTTGTTTATATAGTATCTAGGAGCAGAGAAGAAGAAGATTTTCAAAGAATTAATGCATTTTCACTATATAATCAATAGAGCCCCATCCTAACACCAGAACCCCTGACCCTGGGGCCATGAATTTCACAATTTTGGGAAAATCATCCTGGTGCATCATTATCATACACTTGGTTTGTTTAAATAATACCCAGGAGCAGAGAAGAAGATTTTCAAAGAGTTAATGCATTTTCACTATAGAGCCCAGCCCTGACACCAGAACCCCTTACCCAGGGGACATGCATTTCACAATTTTGGAAAAGGCATCATTGCTTGTCATAACCATGCACTTAGTTTGTTTAAATAATACCCAGGAGAAGAGAAGAAGATTTTCAAAGAAATAATGCACTTTCACTATATGATCTATATAGCCCCACCCTAGCACCAGAACCCCTGACCCTGGGGCTATGAATTTCACAATTTTGGTAGAGGGCTCAATGTTTATTACAATCATGCCAACAGTTTGTCTGCTTGATGTCCAGGAGTAAAGAAGAAGATTTTTAAAGATAGCACTAATTTTGATGGTTTTAGCCCCACCCCTCAGGCCCCAGGGGGGCAGGGACCATGAAATTCACAATTTTTGTACCCCTTCACCCGTTGATGCTATATGCCAAAATTGGTTGAAATTGGTTCAGTGGTTCAAGAGAAGAAGCTAAAAATGTTCAAAAGTTTACGACCGACGTACGTCGCACGACGGACGACGACGGACGAAAACAGATAGCAATAGGTCACCTGAGTGACTCAGGTGACCTAAAAATGGAATGAAAGCCCATATATATGATATATAATATATATTAATTAAGTATATTAATATGAAGAAAGATCATTTTTGTCCTCTTTGGTGTGTGCATAGACGAAATTTTACCACTTGTGAGATTATTACAAATTTTGGAGATTTCACATAAAGTATACTGTAAACCAACTATTATTCGCGTCATCTTTTATTTACGAATCGTCAGTTTGAAATCAATCTGCGAGAATCAATTTTCGTGACTGAGGAAACATTTTCTACAAATACAAAGCAAAATAATTGGTTCGCGGTGATTAATATTCGCGAGTTAAAGTAGGTCGCAGATATGTCTCGCAAGCGGAGAGTTGGTTTACAATACATTGTATACATTTACTGACTGAGTTCGAGGGCAGCATGTGTTTTGTCGGACCCAGGAAACAACGGCCTCAGGCAAACAGTTTGGTTCGAGGGGTCGACAAAACGAATTTTTCACAAGAACACAGTCAAGAAATGGTTTGTTATACCTTTTATTTATTTATTTTTTTTTTACATACATGTAACTTGTACTGGCCTCCATAATATAAACCTCGGTAAAACTCGGTCAATTCTGTCACTGTCGAACGCCAACGAATAATATATACTAAATAAGATTTAACTGACTCCACCCAGTGTGTGACGTAAGCGGTCCAATATCTCATCAACATGTATCTCACTCTGTGATCAAAAAAAATTTTATGGCCGCTCACTAAAACATTTGAAATATTAAACCCTTTTTTAGTATTTATACACTTTAAAAGGTACAACAATAATATTGAATAATATTGTCTGAAATATCAAAGAAAATTGTGATTTAATTGAGAACTCTTTACCATTTTATTGTTTTTCAAACCATAGGCATTTTTCTCGGCTTGTTTGCCAATTTTTTTCCTTTTTCTTTCTATGTTTTTGGGTAAGAAATCAAACACAAAAAAAGGTTAAACGCCATTGTTTGAAAACTGTAATCTTCATTGTTTGAAAGGAAAATAAACCTATTCAAAATTTTACACAGATTTGACATTTATCATAAAAATTGTTAAATACACGACTTAGCAATAAAGGTAATGGGTAGAACCATATCGGAAGACAGTTCCTAAAGTTTGCAATTTCTGATCAGAAATGAAAATATACCGACCAGAAAGTAATTCCCCATTTTTAGACGAGCTCATTGCTCGTAGAGCATAGAGATGCTGTTGCCTCACCGCCAAATCAAATTTACGAGTAAAAATATGGTACGTATGCTCAGCCGCTTTTGAGACAGTACAAACACTTAATACAACAAGTAAATTTTCCAAACAAATAAACATTGATTTTCTTTTCACTAACAAAGTTTTGTTCATGTGTCATGGTTACGTTTTGATGAAAAATGCATTATTGGTTCGAATATCATATAAAAGCTCTCTCTCTCTCTCCCTCTCGTAAATGTCACCATTATTATGCATTAGAGCCGATTGTTCTTGTATCCTGGAAATGAGAAGAACTACTTGGATTCGACAACCCAAAACCTGGATTAACTAATCCATCAGAGGTAGCTTCGTCATAAGATGGTGGCTGATTGTTCATGACTTCGCTGTAATCAGGCGGCGTTGTGGTATTTGCTGTCGCTGTGGATTCTTCCGGTCTTTGTACATGAATTCCAAAAATCCGAACAATTCTCAATTCACCTATCCTACTCGGAGCTGAAAAGAAGTTGAAAGTTTAAATCGTGGAATTTTTAAGCAAGAATTGTCTCAACTCAACTGAAATATTATTCTACCTCCTATCATACGTTCCCTCATCCGAGTCTGTGGAGAAAGGTTGAAATTTGACATGCGCCCTGGGACAGCTCCTCTAGGCTCACTACTACGGACACACCAAACAATGCAGCATACACAGATGAAAACAAACACAAGACTGCCCCCTATGATTCCTAAAACTAATCCTACAATCTGACCTGTACTCCTATAAATAAAGAACAAGATGTTTTTGTGAAACACTGATGCCCCCGTGCGACAACGTATAGCAAAGGTTAATACATGTAGCCATTCTCTGTAAGCATTTAAACTCTTATATAGGGAGTGTGGCACGCAAGGTCTTAGATTTTTATGAAGCTTGGCACACATTGCTATAATGATGTATGAAACTAAAATTCATAATAAAATTGTTGCTATGGTCAATGGTTACCATGGCAACCAACATACATTTTTCATGGCCTAAAAATGCTAAATTTTGATGAAAAATGACCATTTTTGACTAATTAAAAGTCTTTAATACAACAAGATATTTACATGACTTACATCATTTTTATAGTTCTTTAGATAATTTCTAGTATTTGAGTAACTTAACAAAAAATATCCCCCCTTTTTAAGTATGATTTTTCTTAGGAAAAATTGTAGATTTTAGGCTCTTTTGAAAAGCCTGGTATAAATTTTTGCGGACATATTGGAAAAAATAAATACATTGGTTTGAAAGTCCACATATAGTTGTAATATAAACTGCAAAGAACCACTTGGTATTCATATCTTGTTTTCATGTTACCATGGTTACAAAGTAATGCTTTTTTTAAGAATTCCAGACAAAGGCAATAGGTATCTACTATCAGTTTCCATATAAATACCTGAGTATTTTAAAATGGATTTAAACCAGATTTGTACATGTTGTACACAATAGCAAAAACAAAGAAAAAAAATCAATTTTCATAACAAAAGGTCAAGGTCAAAATGGCTCGATTTAGATCGAAAAGTAAGGAAACTAAGCACATTTTTTCAATGCCATCACTAATACTTGTGTTTTAAACAACATAATTATGAATAAACAAAATTACAGTTCTGGTGGACAATACATGTAACTAGCATCACATGAATTGGTAAATACGGACAGAAGATCAAAGTTCAAGGACACAATGGTATATAAAATTTGCCTTTTTGTCCCCTGCTTTCACTTAAAGTGGGGGATATTTATTTAGGTCTGTCTGACATCTATCCATTTGTCAGTCTGTCTTTCTGCAACACTTTCGTTTCTGTACGATGTCTGGTGAAGCCTTTGAGCCTTTACAATGAAAGTTTATATAACAACTCCCTTTGGCCTAAGGAAGACCCCCCATTGATTTTAAGGTCAAAGGTAAAGGTCATGAATTAATAAATTCTGTCTGTTTTAACAATTTATTTCCGAGCAATATCTCAAAAACTTCGAGCTTTTGCAATGAAATTTTACACTGAAACTCCCTATGGCCTAAAGAAGACCACTATTGATTTTGAGTTCAAAAGGTCAAAGGTCAAGGGAAAAAATTTATACATTCTGTTTGTGTGTAAAATTTTCATTTCCGTGCGATATCTCAAGAAGCTTTTAAGCTTTTGCAATGAAATTTTATATCATAACTCCCTTTGGTCCCGCCCGCAACTCTTAAAGTATCCCGTCCCCCCAACCCCACCATCCTCCGACCCCACCCCTCAAGATCCGTAAATGCTCTTTTTTCTTAAGCAGGGGACACCGCTTCTCTGAATTAGCTTGTTAGTATAGCATTTAACTTGAGTCCTTGAAACTATTGAAAATAATCTGTCCCTGCCTTCTTCCTACGGTTTTCATTTTTTAAAATGAACATGATAAAGTAACCAATGACCAGGACTTACTCTATCCCTTCCAGGAACCATGTAAAAGCACTTACCCCACTTAAATTGGTAAGAGTCATTTGTAAGAAAAACACGGATCCCTTGTGAAACATTAAGAAGCGTTAAATATAAATATGAAAGAAAGCGGTTCATTCATAAGTGATTAACCCCAACCCGCCCCCATTCCCGAGTATAGATTTTTTGTGTTTAATTTTTTTCTTTTGGTAGAAAGGGGTGGGGTGGGGGTGGGGGGCTTGTCAGAAATTTATTTATGTTTTCATTATCAATAAAATTCAGCTACACAGACTTACTATTAATTTCACTGCTGCAAGGTTCAAACTACATTTTTCTTAGTCTAGAGAAATGATAAACTTGATAAAAATGATAACTTTAAATATGATTCAGACAATTTGTATTTCTATGCAAACCCCCCCCCCCCCCCAAATCAAAAGTATAATTTTCACTGGTTGAAAGGAATCAATTACAAAACAAAACATTTTCATTACTGACCTTAACAATTTTTTTTTGGATAAAGACCATTCCCTTAAAGAAAATACTTGGATCAGGAACTTTATCAATTTCTTTGTAAATATTTTCAAAGTCATATTGAATAAAAAGTTCAAATCTGAAATATACACACATAACTTTTCTCTCTTTTTTTCTAAATCAGATACAGATAAAGGCAAACAGTATTAAAAAGATTGAATTTTCTGTTACATCCCTCACTAATACAGGGTTTTTAGGTGTGGATTTTTTTCTACATGTAGCCTTTAAATAGAGATAAGATATACTTTTACGTTCTTTAATTTTAGAATGAGGGTGTAAAGAGTATCAGTTTATATTTTAAATGTAGCAAATCCTTTCAAGTGAAAACATTCATCATATAAAAATTGTAAATTATGAATGACATAAATTCTGTTTAAAACTGCATAATATGACTGCGTTGACCTTTGGTTAAGGGACGACCATTTGATTCAGAAGGGGGGGGGGATTTTTTCTGAGTCAGCTTATTTATTTTCATGGAATTGAAGGACAGATTATTTATTTCCAATATGATCCAGGACAGATTATGTATTTTTTGCTTCACTGCAAAAAGTCTGAAAATAAAATAAACAATCCATCCCGCCCAAAGGGAAAACGCCCAAACTTTATTTCGTGGGGGGGGGGGATGCCTTTGGGTTGGAGGTTGTAGCACTTATCAAAGATGGATTATTTATTTTCCTGCCAGTTGAGGACAGATTATTTATTTTCAACATTTTCAAGAACGGACTTAAGTTTCTAAAATCTGTAAACCCCCCCACCCCACCCCCGAATCAAATGGTCATCCCCTTAATGACAGACATCAACTTACATACATCATTCAATATAAACTTCAACTTCCAGTTCTGTACAAACATGTAAATGTAGCTTGACTTTAATTATTTAGGTAAAATCAATAGCCAAGTTCTCTCACATTATAGTTCAGTTTTGTTTTGTTTTTCAACATTTGTTGTAAAAAGGCACTGACTTTCCAAGGCTTTATTCATTATAATATATCACTCTGACTGAGACATTGTACCTCTTCTTACAACCAATTCAATATTATTCTGATATCTCAAGTTTATCTTTTATCTCCATTTTAAAACTCCTAAGACCTTGAGGCTTAGGCTTCAATATCATGAATGTGCACAGAGCTGTTTTCCTGTACCATGTGGTCTTTTACATTTCGCCACTGTTCTCTCATCAAAATTATTCTTTTGCATGCAGGAAATAAACAAAGAGGTTAAAATTTGTATGCACATTAAATAAACAGAAAAAAACCACTTGATTTTACTTGAAATCCAGGATACATGTTGATAATGTAAACAACTTCCAGTCAGTTTTGTCCAATGATTTGGCTCACAATTATCAAAGGGAGATAATTCAATTTTTAAATGAATGTCTGCTATTTTAATCATAGATTTCTTATATTTATAGACTGAATACCAACAATGTTTTTAAATGCCTTTTAAAATCAGATGTCATACTTTTTATTTCTGTGAGTAACATGAATTGAAGTAGCCGCATTTCATTGATTGACATTCCCAAAAACTGCATTTTTTCAGAAAAAATCAACTTTAGACACCGTTTCCATGGTAACTATTCAACATTCATATGATCTAACAATATTTTTTGGAGTAGTTTATGAGGTGGTAAATTCTAGCCAAATTTGAAAAAAATCTGTGATTATGCGTGCCACAAAAGTTTAAGTGGTTACAGAGAATGGCTATTAAACTTTGTCGAATGCAAATTAAATATGTTGGTATCCAAGAAAGGTCTTGTCTCGAGGAATATACCAGTGACATATGAAAGCCCTAGCAGCAACCATTGGAAAGATATGGAAAAGGTAAAAAATTTTCAAACGTAAAATCAAGGTTAAATGGTTAGAATTAATGGTTCTCAAGGAAAGGCCTTCTCATAAAAAATATAAATGTGAAAAATGAAAGCCTAGCACCAGCCATTCAAAAGATATGACCAGGGCTAAAGTCTTTCAAAAGTAGGTCAAACTCCAAGGTCAAGATCAAAGGGTCAAAGTTGATGGTATCCAGAGGAAGGTCCTGCGACAAGGACTACATATGTGAAGTATAAAACCCTTAGCACCAACTATTCAAAAGTTATGGCCGAGGTTAAAGTTGGGTAAAATTTTGTAAAACTGGGTCAAACTCCAAGGTCAAGGTCAAAAGGTAAAAAATGATGGTACCCAAAGAAATGACTTGTCACAAGGATTTCACGTGTGAAAAATGAAAGCTATATCTCCAACCAATCAAAAGTCATGAGAAAATGCTAAAGTTTTTGCGGACAAACAGATAAAAAGACACACAGACAGCTAGACGGACGGAGAGGGCAAATATTATATACCCCAAATCTTCAATACGGGGCATAAAAACCTCATTGTCAACACTAACGTACATTGTTATTTTGAGTAAAGGAAAGTCTCTGTATTCTCTATAAATTATAAGGAAACATACTTGATATAATCTCCTTTGAATTATATTGTCTGTCATTTAATTTTTACTATTGACTCGCAAAGAGAGTTTTCCCAAAATGTTATTGATTTTTTTTCCTACATAAAAAAATATATTTTGCCTCTAAAAGTACTTTTAAAAAAATTATTTATTTATTTATATTAATTATTGATTTTTTGATTATGATTATTAGATTGATTCGTTGTGACATAATGAGACCGTCGAGACTTCCAAAGAAAAACATTAAATAAAAAGAAATAAATATATAAATAAATAAATAAAATAAACACAATTAAAAACAACATGTGTTCCTGAAACACTGATGACCCCGTATGACAACTTATAGCAATGGTTAAATTTTCTCAAATACAATTCAAATATGTTGATACCCTAAGTAAGGACTTGTCTCGGGGAATATACCTGTGAAATATGAAACCCCTAGCAACAACTATTGAATAGATATACAAAATGTTAAAGTTTTTCAAAAGTAAGTCAAACATCAAGGTCAAATGGTTAAAATTAATGGATCCCAAGGAAATGCCTTCTCACACGAAATACACATATTAAATATAAAATCCCTAGCACCCACCGTTCAAAAGATATGGCCAAGGTTAAAGTTTTTCAAAAGTAAGTCAAATCCTAGGTCAAGGCCAAAGTTCAAAGTTGATGGTATCCAAAGGAACGTCTTGTCACAAGGAATAGACATGTAAAATATGAAAGCCCTAGAACCAACCGTTCCAAAGTTATGGCCATGGTTAAAGTTTTTCAAAAGTAGGTCAAAGGGTCAAAGATGTTGGTATCCAAAGGTAGGTCTTGCTACATGGATTACAAATGAAAAATATGAAAACCCTCTCTCGAATTATTCAAAAGCTATGGTTATAATTGGCTAAAATTTTGCAAAACTGGGTCAAATCCAAGGTCAAAAGGTCAAATATGATTGTACCCAAAGAAAGGTCTTGTCAAAAGGAATGCACAAGTGAAAAATAAAAGCCTTAGCTCCAACCAATCAAAAGTTATGGGCAACGTTAAAGTTTTTGCGGACAAACAGACAGAAAGACGGACGGACAAGACAAAAGCTATATGCTCCCAAATCTTCGATACAGGGACATAAAAACAAACAAAACAAAACAAAAAAAAAAACAAACAAAAAACAAAAAAAAAAAAAAACAAAACAAAACAAAAAAAAAAAAAAAAAAAACCCAATTAGCACAATCATGGCAACTTGAAGATTTGCTATTACTACAATCACCGTGCAGATAATGCACTGCATACAAAACTAAGTTCCTAAATTTAAATTAATGAAATCAAGATACTATTCTATTGATTTATTTTGTGATTTAGGTAAAAGAAACAAACAATTATTGACTGTGTTTTGGGGCATTGCTGTTTACGTTAGACCCTCGGGACGAAAATATTTTGCCCTTCGCTCCGCGTCGGGCAATATTTTGTCCCTTTGGGGCTAACATAATCAATGTTGCCCTCAACCCCAGTCAATATTTGTATATTAATTAATAGTCTTCTATTAAAGTACGGATTGTGTTTAATTATCAATCAAAGTTTCTGGTTTCTCAAATCAGACTTGATATTAAATGTCCAAAATGAATCAAGCTATCAAACCCTATAAACTGATAGATAATAATTAGGTTTCATCTTTTCTAGCCCAGTATTTCTTGAAAAGAAGAGTTCTGAATAATGTTACCAAATTTTCACGAATTCTATATTATTTTTCTTTAAATAAGAGCGTGGCTCTTCAATTAAAAACATTTGAATCCCCTTTACCCAAGAATACTTTGTGGCAAGTTTGATTGAAATTGGTCAAGTGGTTTTGAAGACGTCGAACATTCGATACACGCAGAGTGACAGATGGACCCCGGACATTTTCGATCAGAAAAGCTCACATGTGTTAGAAACAGTATCCCTCCTCCCCACATTTTGGGCAAACCATGATAACATTATTATTAGCACTGGTACTTACATTTTACTTTTAGCTGCCTCCTCTGCATAGTAGTAATATTTGTAGTAAAATATGCTATCATCTCCCTTTTTGAAGGTGTATATATCATTTGCGTCATTTTCTTTAAAACAAAAAATTCAAAAGTCAATGAAATAAAACACACAATAAATAACTTTGCTTGTAATACTGTATGTCACTTTTTATTCGCGATAACTTTATTTTTCGTATACTTAGGTGAGACTGTCTGCTCGCGAAAATTTTATTCTCGAGTATTTTTTAAAACAAGAACAAAAACCTGAAGTCTCTGACGAGACTGTTGCTCTACAGGTCTTTACTTACCAAAGGTAGAGAAAAGTTGCACTTTGACTTGAAAGTTTGATAACAGCAATAAATAAAATAATCTTCTTGGTTTACTTTCTTTTTGTGTCAGGTTTAAGTGCAATTGGATAAAAAACTGAAGTAGGAGTATACTTTTGAAAGAATTCATTTAAATTTCTATTTTAAATTACCATGAAAACACCGTTTGTTGAAATTAAAAACCGATATACAGGATTATGTGTCTTAGAAGTCTACTTGTTTACGAAGTTATATTGAAATCAGACCAAAACTTTAGGAGGAGTAGCAATTTGAAAAATTGTTTACAGACAAACATACGAACAGACAAACAAGACAGACGGACGACGTACACCTTAGTATGGCATAAGATTGCGTTTTACAAAATAACTTACGTCAAGAATTTGAAAGAATTTCATGGCAACCCTGTTCATCAAAGTCAAAACCCTGATAAAGAGAATTATGCGTCTTAGTGCAGCTTTCTTGTTTAGCCATTTATATAGAAATGAGACTTAAATTATAGGAGAATAAACGTTTAAAAGAATTTCACAGAAATTTCTATTTTTAGTAAGCATGGCAACCTTATTCGCCGAAATCAAAAGCAGATAGATATAATTATGTGTCTTATTTTGATTTACTTGTGAACCTAGTTTTATTGAAATCTTACTAAAATTTTTGGACAAGTAGCATTGTGAAAAAAATTCACAGAAATTTCTATCTTTAGAAACGATGCCAATCCCATTCATCAAAGTCAAAAACTAAAATACAGAATTATGTATCTTAGTGTAATTTAATTACTTCTTTACCTAGTTGTATATTGATATCTGACAAAACTGTATGACGAGTAGCATTTTGAAGGAATTTCATAAAACTTTGTATTTTTAGTAACTTTGGTAACACCGTTCATTAAAATCCATTAAATCTTTAAAAACAAATACAGGGTATTATGTATCTCATCGTGAACTTTTGCGAAAAGCGCTGACTTTCACAGTCGACGGCTTACTTTTACACTAAGACAATATACGGAAGCTCTTTTGCGCTATGAATAAGTAGCTGAACAATTAATTTAAACGTTAAAATCGGCCGTTTCAAAGCACATATTACCTACATATTATCTTGTCTGTGAAGGGAACTGCATCTACCCTATCCTCAAACCCCCTTTCTTTCAACCTTGACCAACTCCTGCCAAGTTTTCCTTTCTGAATGTTTTTCTTCCTTTGTTTAATATTTTCAGCTAATGAAATTGAAAGAAGATACTACTTCTCACAAATAACATATTTTTAGTTAAGTTATTCTACTTCCCATCATCTCTTGTATTTATTGTATACCGGTCAATCATGTTAGCGCCCCTAACACCATACATGTACCTACAACCCTTATTAATGTTATTTACTATCAATTTCGTACTTCCGTACATAACGCTGGTTTAAATGTCAAAGTAAGCCGTCAACTGCAAAAGTTAGCGCTTCTCGCCAAAGTCCTGTAGTAAACTTGTGTACCCAGTTGTATTGATATCAGACTAAAATTGGAGGAGGAGTAGCATTTTGAAAATTTCTATTTTTAGTAACCATTGCATTTACCATTCATTGAAATCAAAATTTGAATACTGAATTATGTATCTTAGTGTAGTCTACTGGTGTACCAAGTTACATTGAAATCGAACTAAAACTTTAGGACAAGTAGCGTTAAGAGTGTATTTCACAGAAATTTCTAATTTTAGTAACCATGGCAACACCGCACATTTGAATCAAAAACTGATGCACAGAATTATGTTTCTTAGTGTAGTCTACTTGTGTTCCAAGTTATATTGAAATCAGATCAAAACTGTAGGAGGAGTAACATTTTGAAAAATTGTTTACAGACAAACAGACGAACAGTCAAACACGGACGACGTACACCTACTATGGCATAAGACCGCGTTTTACAAAATAACTTACGACTAAGACCAAATTTACCTTTATAATTTGTTCTTTTATGGTAATATTATTGTGATTTTAATTTATGTGATTAATAAGAATTCAACAATACATTATACACAGTTTATCCTAAAAAATATGAAGTTTTAGAAGTGAAAATTTTAGACAAAGACGTAAATTATTTTGTAAAACGGGGCCCTGGTCTCTCACCAGTAGAGCTAAAAACCAGAATTCGTGAAAAATTTGCCTCGCATATTAATATCAAATAATTATTTCGCAAAAACAAGGTATCACCAAAATTTTGTGCTCTATAGTGCTTGGAATAAATCAGGCGAGGCTGTAATGATGAATTTCTCATTCAAATGCATGTTGAAAATGCAATATAATTGTGGAAAAAATAGAAACATTTGTTCACATTGCATGTGCCTCGATTGATCTAGACAGCAGAGGTATGAACTTTTAAGGATAGGCCACCTGACCATTCTGTTATCTCCACATCCTGGTTTCTATCACAAGTTTTGTTTGCTTGTAAGATAGTGCTAACAATCATGCAATGTCTCACTTTCATGTAATCTTTTCTTCGTTGCTTAAGAACTCTGAAAACTTTTTTTTTTGTATTTTTCAATCTGATGTAAGATTTTTTTTCAACAAAAATTAACTCCTCTTTTTATGATGAATTTCATCAGCGAAATCACTTTTGATACAGAAACAAGTATTTATATTAATGCAATAAGTATTGTGATAGCCCAGTTACACATTAAATTGCTTCTTTCTTTCCATAATCCTCTCATCACTAGAACACCTTATCTTATCCTCCTTCAATGAATAAAAAATCTGTAAAACAGTTTGTCGTGTGTTGCCACCTTTGTGACGTTTAATAATTTGTTTGAAATTCTCAAAAGTATTATTAACAATGGCATATAATTTTAGCAGACACAAAATATAAATATGAGAAATAAACCAATTTTGTAAAGGGAGATAATCCAAATTTCCAGTAATTACAACTTAGACTTAACAGAAAAATCATGAAAATGGGTCTGAAAACGCCACTGACTTTACCGCACTAGGGAAAGTTCAGACCCATGAAGAAGAATGGCAACACACATCAAACATTAATCATACCAGAAGTGAGAAAATTTACCTAATCTGCACATTGCAATATTGGAATAAACATATGTCCAATAATGCAACAAACACCGTCTGTTCATGAGACATATAGGACAAGATAAATGTATCGATCTATTACAATTCAATTACATGTATAATAAAAAATTATTTTTTCTCTGGGTCTATGAGGGATAAACATATGCTCCATAACAACAAAGTCAGAAGATTACTGTTATAAGTGGATGCATTTCATATGCCCTTCTGAGCTTTTGATACAGAAAAAAGTATTTAAATAACATTTTTATGTACTCTCTAGTATATCACTTGAAAAAAAATGAACAAAGAGGGTACTTTGAAGATACCAGAATTTCCTTCTTTAAACATTTGTGCATGAACAGTCGGTTTAATTTAATTATGTACATTGTATTCCCCCTTCTTAATAACACCGTTTTAAAACTGAAACAATACGCTTGCATACAAGGTACTAAGGTATACTTTGTATTCGATAAATACATGTGAAACTGATAAAAAAAAAAAAACTAAACATGCACTCGGTCAACTGACCTATATGCGACCGGGAAAATCTTATCTGAGGATATACCCTCTAGTACCCCATTATAAGATTAGCACAAGGCAACTAATATTCATCCAATTATATTTATGAATCCCTTGTAAGTACTTAATTCATTCACTTTATTTTGCACTCAAAATAAGGGCCTTGGATATTTCTTACAATTAAAAACAAAGATTAAAATTGTTATTATATTCAAAGCTTAAAAAGTTATTTTAAAAAAGGGTTTGAGGGAGGAAATCTCACTTCAGTTGCACCAAATCTAGCCCAAAAATATGTCAACAATTCCTAAATAATTCTTTAATTTTAATTTAATAGGGCCTAAAATTTAAACTTTCTACGTCATTTTAAAGAGAACAGAATTTATCTTGTTATAGTCAACTATAAAAGGCAAAATATAAAAAGTATAAAAGGGGAAATAAAACGTTTTTGCAGGAATGCTTGTATACTTGTGATTGTGAGAGCAAATTAATAGATATAATTCCTTTGTAATCATTACGGAGTAAAACTATAATTTCCTGGTCCACACACAAACTATCATACAAATATCAACAAATAATAGTATGAAAATTGTAAATTTAAACTACTTATCATTAAATTACCTGATATAAGACAGGAAATGATCGCCATGAGGATCACTTGAATGTGAACGAGCATTTTTTCCAATGGCATTCTGTCTAAGGAGCTAGTCTACACGTTCTTCGTTTCACACATGCATGTTTTATCTTTAAAGTTCACTTATTATTAACTTCCGGGGGGAATACCAAATTTCTGTGTTGTCACCAAATCAAATTGATATAATTTCAATCGGGATTGAAGGGATGGGTGTGGGGTTGGAGTCTTTATTTATATGTGCATGTATTTGTACATGATGTTTAAATAATTCTCGAAAATTGAACAAGAATTACTTTTGAAAATATCTTCTACAATTTCCTATCAATAATTTTATGTGTTAAAGAGCTAGAGCAACGAACCATCGAATTGTGCCTTAACTCAAAAATTATTGAGGATTTCAATATAGACAGTGTAGACTTTTAGTTTTTCATTATTGTTTTTTTAAAAGATATTTATAATACTTTTTCAAGAAGGGATTTTAGAGTAAGGCATTGTTTTGATTGAATTTTGCGTGAGGTACAGTACGTCATTATTTGTAACGTAGCGCCATTTCATTACATCGAAGCGTCGTAAGAAATTCCATTGCAATTATATGAACACATTTATAAACTTAAAATTGGAATAGAGAAGTATCTAATTAGCATCATAATCGTTAACCAATATATTATAAAAAGAAGGTAGGTGTTGGTTTTATATTGCAGTTTATCGATAACTGCGCGCAATCGTAAACTGATTACATTATATCCTATAGTACATGTATGTAAGAATAATTTGTGTCGTAAAGACAGGCCCGTGTAGAACGCGCGGGGGGTGGGGGGTGGGGGGGGAGGGGTTGTAAAGCACTTTATAGTAAATTTTCCTTTAGATGCTGGATGCCCCCCCCCCACTTTTTGATGTTATACGACTGAGCTCTGGAAAATTCCAGGATTTAAGCAGTAAATTAGCTCTTTTTTGTTTGAAAGTTTTTTGGAAGTTACCCCCCTCCTCCCCTTTTGAAACTGTTGCTAAGGGCCTACAAGAGTAAGACTGGGTATCATTTAACGAAGTAATGTTCTATCTTTGTACACATGAGCACTGCATTAGTCCTAGTTCTGTATTCATTATTAATTGTGACATGACCCGACGAGTTTTCCTTTGAAGTCAACCGTACAATAACTGCGACACGGAACACTTTTCGTGGGCGTTTGATTACCCGAATACGCATGTTACAAATTAGTGAGGTCATAAGAAAAGTCATGTCAATAGTCATTTAGAATACTCGTTTCCCACTGTATCGGAGATAGGAAGTAGGAAACTCCTACCCTAAATATAACATATCAACGTACGGTTTATTTTTAGCGATGACAGAAAACTGAATCCGTAAATGATATAGACATAAGAATCAATTCAAATCGCATGATAGCGCTGTTAGTATTTATTCAAAATTTTAGATGTATTAAAAATAGAATTTTATAACGTTAAGTTACCAGTGGCAGATTAAAAAAATTTAGAAAGGAGGGAGTGGGGACAGTACACAAATGGTTTTCTTCGAAAAAAAAAATGTCCAAACTGGAAAATAATTTGCGATTGGCATTCCAATCAAGTAACATTTTTTTACATCACTTCTACAGATATTCCCTTCTATTTATAGATAAAACTATTACTAGTAATCATTTGAATCTAATTTTTTACCTTAATGATCTAATTTGTTAAAACTGTCCGATCCATGCCATGTCTGATCACCCTCGATGCGATTTAGCAAGCTGGTATGTTACAACGCGAAATGTAATAACAACGCACAATGTAATAAACCGGGATTATTACATTATTGATAATAACCTTTGAATTAGGCATTTGTATTTTTATTGCATTGGCACCTGACGTAACTTATCTTTCTTTTAATAAAAAAAAAATATACCCCTAATTAAAATTCACAAGGAACACATCGCCGCCATCTTGGTTTTTTCTATACATCAACTTGTATTTTCGTCTGAAACTCCGTGAAATAAATTCCTTGCAACCGTATTCTTTCATGCCATCACCGTTCTTCGTTATTCGAAATCAAAAATCGAGAAGTGGAATTATGTTTCTTAGTGTAGCGTACTTGTGTGTTAAGTTATTATATTGAAATCAGACAAAAACTGAAGGAGGACTAGCCTTTAGTAAGAATTTCAAGGTTCTTTTTTTTAATTACCATGGCAACACTATACAGTGAAATAAAAATCAATTCAAAGAACTATGTTTCTTTTATAGTCTACTTGTGTGCCAAGTTACATTGAAATCAAACCAAAACTGTAGGAGGAGGAGGAGCGTTTTAAATGGATTTCACAGAAATTTTTATTTTTAGTAACCATGGCAACACCATTCATCAAAATCAAAAACGGTCAGTTAGAATTATGTTTCTTACAGAAGTCTATTTTTTGCTAAGTTATATTGAAATCAGAGAAAAACTCTAGGAGGAGTAGCATTTTAAAAGAATTTCACAGATATTTCTATTTATAGTAACCATGGCAATACCGTACATCAAATCATAAACTAATACATATTTTTTTTTCTTTTGTAGTCTACTTGTGTGCCAAGTTATATTAAAATCAGACCAAAACTGTAGAAATGGCATTTTGAAAGAATTTCACAGATTTTTTTTTACTTTTAGCAACCATGGCAACACCGTACATAAAAATCAACTACCGATATATATATATATATATATATATATATATATATATATATATATATATATATATATATATATATATATATATATATCATTATGTTTCTTTTGTAGTCTACTTGTGTACGTGCCAAGTCATATTGAAATCAGACAAAAAATCTAAGAGGGATATCGTTTTGAATGAATTTCACAGAAATTCATTCAAAACGATATTCCTCTTAGAATGTTGTGACTAAAATCAAACATTCCACTATCTCCTTTATACCGATGGTTTCACGCCATCATCAGAATAAAGGAGCTAGTGGATGATTTTAATAAGACTAAATGAATTTTTTTCATTAAAATAAATTTTTCTTTTTTTCTACTCATGAAATTTGAATTACTTAGCATTTAACATTCAAATAAAACAAAGAAAACTTTTTAAACATTTAAGGTATTTCCATCCTAAAAATTTTAATGATTAAAAGTAGAAAAAAAAACTGCTTTTATTTTCAATGCGCCTGTGACTAAAGTCAGACCTTCCACTATTTCCTTCATTCTGATGGTATATAAACAAATAAAATTAACTTAGCATTTACATGTATAATCATGCAGATAGAGTTCACGAGGATAGTTGTACCAAACCTGCAGCAATCTCTTTGTGTGCTAAATTATACTAGAAATTAATAATTCTGATTAGTCGTATTGTTTTCAAGAATTTTATTGTTTAATTAATAATACTTTTTGTTTAAAATAATTTTGATTTTTTTACTATTGAAAACCTTCTCAATCATAAACATTTTATTGATGTGAATGTAAGTACACGTAAACCAATTAACAACAGTTGCTTTATTCTTTAATTAAAGGAAAATTCTTTTCACAAATTTGCAAACATTTGACATTCATTCATAAAAGTAGGAAACTCATAGAAGGGCGAAGGGAGCAACATTATCGTTCGACATCTCATTTAGCTTGATGGCCCATTGGCCATTTTTCTAAAATTATTTTTCCAGTACAGGCATCTTTTTAACACATTCAATTCATTTATTTCATTTAACCCTTTAACCCCCAGAGACGCATTTGGACGCATTTTCAGCATCACAGATATTTAACTGTAGGCGTTTTCTAAATATTCGGGTTACAACAAAACAATTGATATTTTCTGAAACTAGAGAAGAAACTAAACATTTTTTCTATTCAAAAATTTTCTGTGCGATGTTGAAAAATTATCATAAACTTGAATTGAATATTGCATATCATTGCAGGAAGTTGATAAAACTACGCATAAATGACTGATTTTGTGCTATCTTCTGTTGGCTTTATCTAAATTACAAACACAATAAAATAAAAAATTAATACTATAAGCTGAAAGCTGGGAATATGCCCTATATTTTTTATTTCGGACATTATAAGGTACATGAATCCGTTACAGAGATATTTGTTGTTGAATATTGGAACTTTTACGAGTAAAACACAAAATGCACTATGACGTCATTTGACGTTTTACATGCACAATGAAATCGTTCATGAGCTCAGTGTAAAACAAACTGGCTCTTTTGATATATGGAACAGATTTATTTTTTTTAAAACATGAATTATTTGTAAAGAAGAGTTTATGAACGACACGTTTTGAGCCATAAACATGTAACAAAAGGAATTTTCCATAGCTCTGGGAGATATATTATATACATGTAGTAATAGTCTTTCACCCAAAGCCCCGATTGCGTGCACCCATTGCAGAAATCCCTGTCGAATTTCGTGTCGGTCCTACATGTAGTAGAAGTAATTAATCAAATGATTAAATATTATCCTTACCATTTTCCTATTCTTAAGATTTATTATTGAAAATGAATTTTTTTTTTTAGTACTTGGTGTACTTTGAAAGGAATAGTGCATTTTTATTAAAGCGACAGGATAGATAGTTATCCTTTTTTAATGATTAAAAGATGAAAAAAAACCCAGTCACAATGAAAAAATATACCAAAAGTACTACGTCGTAAACTTAGCCAAACAAACAGCTGATTTTAATCAGATTGCTATATTTATAGAAATAATTTCTGAATAAACACCCAGGAAACTCAAGTTTCTTTGTTCGTGTTAAATTCAAACTGGATAATTGATTTTATGAACAATATAAAATAATTTATGACAAGAAGATTATATGTAAGTTTTTTTATTGTATTTTTGTCATATTGTTTATTCAACTTAAGCATCTAGAGTTTACGCGTACTTAATAACCGGAAATAAAACATGACTCAATGCGAGTAAATTTTAGCTTCAGCCGCAGTTGACTCTGCATCATTCTGCTTACCCAGGAATGCGCGCTTTTAATTGGTTTTTTGTAGATGTCGCCCTGGTTTTTTCGCTCGGACTCTGGCTGTTTATAATGTAGAAGTACATTGGTTGGCATAA